TTTTTTTTGTTTGATCTTTTCTAAACAGATTCTGCTATTGGTCAGTTATATTTTCTAGATAGTTTTTAAATGTTTCCCTTACTTTCTGAATTTGTTTCTACAAGTGCTTTTATTTTATAGTTTCTTATTTTGTTCAAAAGGTAATTTAAACAAGAAATGTATCATTTATTTACTGAATTTCTTAGTAATGAAAAGTATAAGTGACATCTTTCAGGTTCTTTTGGCTTCAGTTTTTTTCTTCTGTTGTTAGTTGAAGGTCAGCAGCTAATCTGATCAGATGACTGACTGCAAGCACATGGACGAGCATCCACACCACCTCCACCTCCGCCACCTGCCGCCCTAATCCTGTGACGGATACACAAACCAGCATCAACACTCAGAGGGGACTTCCCCACTAGTCTGTTTATAACTCTCCAAGAATATAATCATCACACATCAGGAAAAACTTGTTCTTCATCTAAAACATGCACGCTGAAGAAAAGCGTAAAAGTCATGGTCCATTCAAGTCAGTAGAGAAAAAAAAAATCATGAATCAAACCCGAGTTTTGCTCTGTAATGGTTCGTGACTGTGCTGGTTTATCTATCTTTGCGAGGACCTGTGCAAATCTCCAACTACATCAGGACACTTTGGTCAGTCCTCATAGTGGGACAAACCTCCAAAGACCTGTTTCAGGACTTAGTCTTAGGTTTCGGCTCATAATCACAGCAGCATAACGTCCTCGCAAAGACAGATGTACAAATGTGTGTCATAACTGTCCACTGCATATTGGTGTTGAGTTTCAACCTCCCCAAAATACACCCGGAGCACACACAGAGGGAGTTTGAGGGGTATTAAGAGTGACGAGGAGCAGGTCCAGGGGCAGCTAAATATAGATTCACCCTCCCATGAGCCCCACCCATAGCAGCAAGGCATGCTGGGAGTCCTGGGAGGGAGGACAAGTGTTCAAGCCAAGCAGGGCAACTTCGAGGTTTGGTAAGTTTGGAATCAAATTACTAATTTTAGAGAGCTAAAATTAGTGGACTTATTATTAGGCATTAATTTGTAAGATAAACTAATTTTGTTTCGTCATTTTTTATCTAGATAAATTACGTTAACATTTAAATACTTCATTTAAAAATCTCACATTCTGGTTTTATTTTTGTTTTTTTGTAACATTTTAGCAAAAGAAAAACACATTTTAAAACATTTAGTGTCTCTAAATTTTTAGTATATTTTGAATTTCGTCTTTTAATTACTGTGATTTATTTATTGTTGATATTATTTTCATTATTCTTTAAAATTCAATAGAAGGAAGGAAACTATAAATAAATATGAAAACACTCTTAAAATAATTTTTGCGTTATTTCTCCATTATTTCTTATAACAACTCTAAATTTCATATTTTAAAAATATGAAAATAAAAATCAGAGTATGTTTGTCTTTCTTCAGTCTGATGTAAACATTTTAAATTTACTCTTTAGACCGGAGGGTGAACTGATTAGAATTTCATGGCCAAAAGCCAAAGATGAAGACGACCATGA